TTAAGGTTGTTTCTGCAGCGCGTGTTTACCGCGATAAATTCAAAATACGTTTATTTTTTTGTTTGGACAAATTGTTTGCAATCTCCATAGTACGTGAAATTTCACCCAAAAAAAAGATGAAAAACAGTAAGTGATATAACTGATATGTAACAATGAATCGACAGACGGACGTGATGCGAATTCGCGTGTTCGAGAAGAAAAATCGTATTTCGTTCGACACATTATATAACTTCCAATACTGCCTACATAATATACTGTTTGTGCGGATATGCAAACTGTACATATTATACAGCAGGATAATGGTAGATCATAAATTACTATATACACTATTTATAAACGGTATCACAAACACTTTACCGTCTACGATATAATTATTATAATTATGAGGTGTTCCTATCAATAATTATAAACAAGGATAAATAATTCAAATATGCAAAGATGATTTTCAAAAAAGACTTAACGCACACGAATAAACCGTTTATAGAAATTTCTAATACTAAATAAGTATTAATAATTATGATGCAATGTCAGAGCGCCATATTCTTGAAGCTAACGATTTATGTATAATTATTAATTAATAACATAAAATATTATATTTTACTCTTTTGGCTACAATTATTATCACTAAATTAGATAACAACAAGTATATTAATCAAATGTTTGTATTTTAAAGATTGTTATTATTTTTTTTTTTTTTTTTTAAATTCCAAACCTGAGAGCAAAATATGATTTTTTTGTTTTTTAGATTATGCCGTAAAATGTTCTCATATTGATTACAATAGGGGATGACACTGTTAATACCTAATTAAAAAATAATTAAAGCGCCAATTAATGATTAGGGTCGACTTAAATCCAATCATATTCATGTTTAGTATGTTTACCTATATAATTTTCTACGCACCCATTGTTAAATAAACTCATGTATGTTTGAAATTTAAAAAACAATAAGGTATTATACGTGTTGATATTTCACATAATTGTATTAATATATCACAATGAAAATTCGCTCCTAATCGGATACAATAATTTAACTAATTTTCTTAATGTTTTATCGTAATATTAGTATTATTTTAGTTACCTATAAAATACTGCATCATTTCACGAGATCGTTTCTTTCTTTTTATCGAGAAAATTGTCTGGCAGAAATATTTTATATAATGTGATTTCCAGCAGTAGAATATTAATTCAACATTATATACATAATATACCTGTGTTAGTGCGCTATAGTAACTAACAATAGAATAAACGTTTGTGTTTCAATGTCAATGTAAAATAAGCCCGACAACACAGTGATCTGCATTTATTTATATAATGAGTTTTTAACGATATACAATTTTATTTATTGATGTCCGTGTTTTAGTTAAATAATTCTGTTTAAATGTCTAGCTCCCGAACTTGGATTTTCTGTCAAACGTTTATCCGCGTTTGCACGACAGACACAACCGTGATTATGATTGATCAATGATCAATATATAAGTGAAAAAATAACACCGGCGAAAGACACTTTGTCAAATAAATCGGAGGGGAAAATGACAAGCGGGTAATTTCGACCAATCATTCAAGCCAAATCACATCGGTAGGTACCTATAAATAATTGTACTATCTTGTATAGACAGTACAACGACAACAAGCCCGATAATAATACGCTCGAGTGATCGTTTCTAAAGTAGTGGTTTGTTGTCCGATTTTCAATACTGACAATAGTCCCAAAATCTGGTTAGAAAATTTCATGGTTTTCGAACCAATTTCAATAAATACAAAATTCAATCACATATAATATATATTATTATATTTCATTCAACTCAAGAATTGATTTATATCCATACGGCGATAAACTTACATTTAAAATTTTAAACATATCTCTTCGTATATTATCTATTCAGTATATAACATAAGTGGAAAAAATGTATTAGTAAAGAAAAATCGTGTAAATACTTCTAAACTATAGATTATAGTCCGTGATACTTTTGATTATGGAAGTGTAAACTGTGATGAAAAAATAGTTGAATATGAAAATAAAAAATTATTATTTTAGACTATAATGCAAATGATTTTATGATGGTTTTTGCGATATTTTTAAACATTTAAATGCTTCATATCTCTTATACGAGTATTACTATTACATTATCATTTTAAGCGACTACTTGTGCTAACCGACTACGGTCAGTATAGGTATACTCGTATATTTACCATAACCGTATAAATATCAAATATGCGTATAGAGAATGCCGACTCTCGGTGATGACAATAATAATATTTACCGCTCACGGGATATGTCACGAGCGAGGATCTGTCGAAAATAAATTAATTCGATGTAACGAAAATATAAAAAATAAATAGAAGTAGAATATCCAGTGAAAGGCGATACGTCTTGGACCAGCGATGACGGCGGCACTCGTCCCGCGGAGAAATCTGTTGGCATACAAAATACACACGTTTGAAATCCCGTGACCAGACGGTCTGCTCCGAAAAATACTGGAACGTTTTCTTATTATAATTTTTAAATAGATTGATAGATATGTTTTTATTATTACTTTGCGGTAAAAAGATTATTATACTTCAATTTAATATTTATGACACAATAAAGTCATTTACAATGCGGGTTAAGTTTGGAAAAAAATTGGGGTATCTTTTTGTGTATATTTACTATTTAAGTAAATTAGATTTATCTATGACGTATTAATAATGATTAGAACATATAAAACCTATTTAAAATATAATAATTATTAGTCTTTATAGTAAATTAAGTATAGAATAAACATTTTAATTTACTTTGATAACTTTAATCAAATTATACATAAATACACATCCAGGTATAATATTATATAAAAATTTAATTCTGCAGTAGGTATTTCAAATTTTCAAATAGCTCAAAAATAATATAAGTATATCAAAAATTATATCATTTATTAAAAATAATCATTTAAACATTTGATACAAATTTCAAATATCTAAGATTATTCCATAGACCTTATACTAAGGGTACTGAGTATAAGGTCTATGGATTATTCTTTTAGAGTTATTATACTAAAGAAACATAGCCAATTTTGTTGAAAACTGGATTTGAGTAAAAATTCCTATTATTTTTACGATTATTTTGATCTCTCTTGAGTACAAACTAGATCGTTTAGATATAAATTTACTTCCTGAAACCACTCTTTAAATTTAAACTAAAATCGTTATTATAAACCATTGTACAATATTAAAATATTCATCACACCGCTTAGAATTTAAATAAAAGAAAAGTATATTTTTAAAAATTTAAAAAAAGATTGAAATTAAATAATGCTTTACCCTAAAACTTAAATAGCTTATGAAAAAAAAAATTTCCATTAATAATATTATTATTAGTCTTTCCTATTGTAAAGGTTGTAAAAGGTGGTATCCTGTTCGAAACAGTCATCTTCAATCTACAAAAAAAATAAACCCCTGTATTTCTAATGTATGTGTTAACAATTTATAACTATACTATGAATTTTGATCGAAAAAAATAAATAATAATAATAATCTGAATAGAGTATACAAAAAAAAAAATTTCAATTTAACGTAATCACGTTTGATTTTTTTTTTTTAATAAATTTAATATGAACGTATTATTATTTTAATATGAAGCATGCTTACGTTACTATTACCACCAATGTTAAGTTATAGACATATTGACGTTATAAATATGATAAATTTCGTATAGTGTATTTCAGCTATATACCAATGATAAAAAGACGATTCTTAAGAAAAAAAATTTTAAAACCTTCATGATTTAATTTAACGCTTTTTAAATTATTTTATAGAAGCGCTTCTGTCGTTCTGTCATTAGCGTACGTGAACTATCACGTCAGACTAAGTAAGGTTTTATTATGTTAGGTCACGGTTGTGATGGTAGTTGGAGCGGTCGTCGATGGGTAGGTACTCGAATATTATAATATCTGTGTGGGATAACGGCGGTATCGATGACCGCATTGCCGAATGCAGCGCAAGTATTGTGTCGATACACAAAAATCTGCTTAAACCTTGCTACATTGCAGGTTGCGTCTACCGACCATATATGCATTTAAATGCGCCCAAGTATTACAATAACATGCGTGTTTAAGAATCTGTTTGCGCCGTCGTTTGTGTATATTATAGTAGTTAGATTATTCTTTATCAAAACGAAGCATATAAAAAAAACCTCTAGAAACCTTGGCGGCGCAGAATTAATAATAACCGTTTATCTCTAGCACAAAAGTCTTGCAATCAAGAGTAAGGTAGAAAGATAGAGTGAGTGAGAGTGATTGCAGGCATTATGTTTGTTTCATTTTTTTTCTTCCACTCATCCTTACTTAAATAGGAACTCCAAGGTCCTCGAGTATAGCGGGTCAGATGAATACAAAATAAACGAGTACACAGAGATACAAAAATATTACAAAACCATTTATTTACAAAACATGTTTATAGTAGGAAAGTATTTTTCAACAATATCTCGTCGGAGAACTAAGTATAGTGTTGCGTACTTTAGCTAAAATTAAAAATTATTAAATAGTATACAAATACAATTTTCAATTTTTTTGTATTAAATATTAATATATATATGTATATATATATATATATATATATATATATATATTATTATTTTAAATATAGGATTGCGTTTTAAGTAAAACTTTTTATCTATTTTTCCAAATTTACTTTACATAAATATAATATAGCTAAAGGAACTAAACTTTTAAATAAGAATACTACTATAGTTATAAGAATTAATTTAACCAATAATAATAGTAATGATAATAATAATAAAAATAATATAAACTAAAAAAAGTTCATGACAATGTTAGTTAAGAGGTACTCAATACTGTTCATAAAAAAAAAAAAAAAAAAAAAAAATAAAAAAAAAACAACCAAAATTTGCTTATATAAAAAAAAAATAATAATAATAATGATAATAAATTAATCGCAAAATAATAATAAATTAAATGTCTGCACAATAATAATTACAAAATTACAATAAAAACTTGAAAAATTAAACCATTTTCTGTTTTCTATGCATAGAGTTTAATTTAAAAAAAAAATTTAACGACGTTTGGTAAACAGGACGTACATTCAAAAATACGTGTAAAATAACGGTTAGAATTCTGGGCTTTGACGGTGTCATAATATTTTTATAAAAAAAAAAAAAAACGATATAATGAAAATAGAAAGTAGAAGTATTATTAAAAATAATAAAAAAAAAAAAAAAAATCTATGAAACGAAATGCGCTTCGTATGTCGTTCGTCCGTCTCGCACACACGCCATTATAATAACTATATACGATTCAAAAAACGGCAACGGAGCGAACGGACTTTTGGCCGCTGCTGAGATATTGCGAACTGTGCCGTGTGCCGAATGTTCGTTTTCATAGATCGCGCGCGTTATAATAATATTATAAATAAAAAATAAAATTGATAATGTAAAAATGGTTATAGAACAGAAATCATATGGTTATCATGATTTACATTTATTATATACGCGCGCACGCTATACGGAAATGCCGTAAATCGGACATGCAACGTTTGTACATGTGCGTTAGGAATGATGGATGTATGGAATGATGTCATACGTGCGCCGTCAGCTGGTCCACGTGGGTGCATTCGCGCGTGCGGCGAGCGGTCTACAGGCACGTGTTGATCGTCTTCCGGTACTGGCACACGCTGCATTTGACCTCGCAGCACCACAGGAAAGTGCAGTTGCACCGTTCGGAAACCAGGGCTTGGTGAGTCTTGTAGCCGCGACCGCAACACATCAAGTCACACCCGTCCACGCCGATGGACGATTCATTGCAGGCACGACCGTGTGTGCCTAGTATGCCCAGGCGCGGGTTCGGATCGCAGAATCCAGGAGACGGTTCCAAGTACACCAGGTCCTTGGTGCCAGGCGCCTTCAGGTCCGGGTTGTACGGCTTCAACTGGAAGTTGTACCTGTTCCGACCGCCGCCGCGCCTTCTGCCGCCGCCGCCGCCTCCGTCTCCACCGCCGTTCTGTTGCTGCTGCTGTTGCTGCTGTTCGAGCAGCGGCTGTTGCTGCTGATCCTGTTGCTGTTGCTGTTCGTAGTGCTTGTTCTGCGCGTTGTCCTTGCTCCGCAACCGGCGCAGACCGCCCGCGTTACCGACCATCACCCTGGACGCGCCGTCGAACCGGTCCTTAAGGTTGTCACCGATCGAACGGAATATGGGCAATCTCATCCAGCACGTCTTCACGGTGCACGAGCCCGACATGCCGTGACACTTACACTCCTGTTTCATCTCCGATTGTACGTGCTGAAACATTAGAAACCGCGAGGTGAGGTTAGGAACACGTTACACAATGGTTATTGTGGTAAAGCTGTTACATAAAACAGTTAGGCTGCCTTAAAAATATAGAGTCGATCAGCAACCGTTCAAATTTACTTTCCCCAGAATAATACTTTGTTATACATATATACATAATAAATTAAATATTGTAGCTACACGTTTGAGGATAATAATCACATTTTTATTATAGGTACCTATCTAGGTATATAGGAAAAATATATTATACCATGTACCGAAGTAGGGGGCAGTCCTAGTCAGTGTCGAGTAAGAACTCCAATTGTTTTCGGGACATTTGACGACGAAGTAAACACGATTTAAAACTGCCGTCATCTGCACTGCTGCGAGGCCAGTCGAATGTATAACAAATATAACGGTCTTATATAATGTTATTATTTAGATATCTATACATGAATATTGTGATGTTACGAGTGGTTATCGGTGCGATACAACGAGAATAAAATTATTGAGCGATTAGTCTAGTGATTTACCATAATCAGGTCTCCGACCAGGAATTCTGCGACACACGGTACTACCACACAATGTCGTGCCGAGACGACCTTGGAAACGCGTATAGAATCAACGGGTCATGGCCCATTTACACGTCACTAAATTGCAGGTCGACCGATCTTCTGAAAAATCTCGACTGCGGATGACCGCTTGACTTATAGCCAGTGCCTATATATATATATATATATATATATATATATATACATTACACATGTATAATTTATACAAAGTACGCGCACAACACTGACCTCTTTGCCCGTGCTCATCACAATACATACATTATTATGATGATACACGTATATTATACATAATAATATTATAATAAACTACCACGGCGATGGCGTACCGTGATTCCGGTGCACAATGATCTCGCCGTAATAGCTGTATATATATATATATATATATATACGTATATACATATAGGAGGTACGCGCTTATATTATATACATAATATATAATGTTATATATTACGTTGGTCGAAATTCAAAAGTAACGCGCGGCGCAATCGTCCGAAACTAATCTCACCGTGTGCCACCCACGAGTAGTAGAGGTAATATATATATAATATATAACATGCATATTAAACCTATCAATGTACCTACGCGTATATATTTTACAAAAACGTGAATACAAAAAAAAAAAAAAAACCGAAACCGCGCGGAATAGAATACGATAAAATATTGTATTATAGGCGTACCCGGGACGGTGCGTAAATTATAAGCACGTCAAACGTTCAGCAGTATACGTGAAATATAAAATAATATTTATCCAGCGCCGCCGCGCGTACCGCGAAAACGTCCGCCGACTGGAAATTATTATTATTATTATCATATCGTTTGGCTTATTATCGCGAGACAACTGAAACAGTATGGACGCGGAAAGAGTAATGATATTAATGATAATAATTTATAAAGATACAAGCGGCTGTTTTGAACGAACAAATAACACTGCGCGGAACAGACGCAACGCTGATAGGTACCTTCTCCTCAACACTTCTCGCCACAATCGTCACAAATGCATACAAACTATATCGGGCCATCGTATAATTGTACGTGTATAATATACCCCTCCAGCGGGTAGGCGGTTGCGCCCATCGTCGTATTATATTATTATTTTAATGCGCGTATTATATAAAATATAAAGTAAACGGATACGCGTGCATATCGATTTTTATCGTAAATTGTAATTAGACGGTTTCGAGTCGCGTCGGGATTGTCATCGCGCGTTTGTGTTTCACATGGCGCAACGGCGACGGCGGCGACCCGTCGAGGAAAAACTGTTGAAAAGGTAAAGTATAAATAATAAAATACATTAAAAAGTATTATATTGCAGAAGGTCTATTGTGAAAAAAAAAAGGCGGACGAGAGAGAGAGTGCGAGAGAGACGCGGAGACGAGCGAAAATCAATGACGGAAAAAAAAAACCGACCAAGACTATAGAAACGTCATGTAAGATTCGAGATCATATAATTGACAATGTCAAACGGGGTGAAAGCTAAAATTATTCCTCGTATTGTCATGTCAATTACACCGTTTGATGTAATGCTGCTGCCGGGCACACACACACACACACACACACACACACACACACACATACGCTCCGTGGGTCTCTCGCTCTGTAAGTGTGGTTTTTTTTATATTTTTTATATTTATCTTTCCGCTCATTCCACTGCATCTTCAGCTCATACGACGACGCATATAACTATACGCATGTCGTCGTCGTCCGGTCCGGTCCGGAGACCATCGTTATGCGTACATCGCGTACGCCGTACAGGTATATATATATATGTATATACGTATAATAATGTACAGGACAATTGGTGCGCGCACGCGTATTGACGATCTATCAAAGCTCCGGGGCTGCTGCGGTACAGTGTGCGCCGCTGCTGACTGTCTTGTTGATAAATTTATTGTGAACGCTTTTCAATGGGGCCGGTGGCGGCGGTGGCGGCTCGCTGTCAACCGCGGTTATCTATTACGCAGCGCAGCCTTCTTCATTGGTGGCGACTATTTTCGCGACATCATCACTTATTCTCATAATATCATTGTCGTATACGACGAGCCACATTATAGTATTATTATATACCCCTGCCTCTTCTATTTCGCGTATATATCTATGCCGTCTTACCACAGTATATAATATAATGTCCTCGTCTGATTCTTCCCATCGGCTTTATACACTGCAGACTCGTCTTCTCGTTGTCGCACACTTTGTCGCATGCTCTCTCTACACAACCTCTCACCGTTCCTGCGCGCATTATATATAGTCACCCGTTCGAAACGCATTTAAATTTATACCGATCGAGTTATACAACGTACTCGCTGTATTATGTAATACCTAATATATATAATAAATGAATACCGTATACGCGTGTGTGTTTGTAACAATGCGAAACGACGTTTGCCGTGTGCCATTCCTCGCGTCGGAGACTTGAACGACCCGCAAATTAGTGACGGAATTCAGACTTATTTGTTTAGGGGTGGGAAGTCTCGTGGAATCAGTTTAAACACAATACATTCGGCGAGTTTTATAGAAAACAGAAAAAAACATCCAAAACCCTATGCCTGTCCTTAAAAAAAATGTCTAGTTATTACTTATTACTGTTTTTGGCATAAACCAAATACGTATACACATTAACGTATATATCTATTATATAATTCGGCCAGTCGTGCGATCACTTGATGAAAAAATTGTAGTGCGCAGACGTAAAAATCAATATCGACGAGTACCTATGATGAAAACTGTAAAGTTAGTCGTATCGGAGTTTGTCGAGAAAAATATGTTTAACAAAGAAACGAGTAAAATTTTAAATATTACGCCGGTCTGACACGCATATATTATATTATATTATATTAATTGGCAGAGAGTGGCGTGCAGTGGGCGCGCTCAAACACGCCTGCAGTGGTGCAAGTGCAGCCGGGTCGGCGCGCATCGCGCTGCATTCGACAAAGATTTCTGTGCGCGTACGAATACAGAACTATATTTAGGAAAAAAGTTGATATATACCTAATAATCGATTGCCCAAATCGCCGGGCCACCGCCGTGCCGTATGCGCAGCATAGATATACCTACGTGCTCGCGTCGTATATACGTATTTACACGCAGCACGAACACAAACGCATAAATAATAACGTGATATACATATCATATTAATATAGTAGGTATACGACGTGTGGTAGATAATATACTGCTCCGGGTACTACGACCGCGGTCGAGGTATGTAATGTATATGTACATATATATATATATTTATATAATATATATACATACGTGGTCCGTGTCGTATAATACAGTCGGGTACAATAGGAAGTAATATAGTGAAATAATTACAACAAACGGCGCGCGGACGGCGGCGGGGAAACCGCACGCTGTGATATGCCGCCGCGACGACGTGGCCGAGCGGGGTGTGTGGTGGGACGGTAGGAGGCTGTCCAGGGCCCATTACAATATACGGACTGCGCGCGTGTGTGTGTGTGTGTGTGTAAAGCTCGCGCCGCGGTAAACACACGCGAGTGTGGGTGGCCCTCGACGACGACTACCGCGACGATGACGACGACGACGACTACGACGACGAGCGCGACGACGACGAGGACGGAGACGACGAAGGCGAAGACGACAAAGACCGCGACGATAACGTCCGTGCGGGGCGTTTTAGTCATGGCGAGCGCGCGCGGTAAGCGTAGCGAAACCCGCCGGGCGCGGGGCGGCGGCCAGCGGGTCATGATGCTGCCCGCAGTATAATAATAATAATAATAATATACGGTACACGATAATATTATTATGATAGATGCCGCTCACGTTGTACGACCCGTCGCGAGGTAAATATTATATTATGTACGGCGACGGCTATCTGTCTATCTGTCCGTCTCTCTCTCACTCATTCCTTCTCTCTCCGTGTGTGTCGCTCTCTCGCTGGTTCCGACACACGCACACAAATCTATTTAGATACACTTCTCTCGTGAGCCCACCGCCGCCGCCGCCGTTGTCTCGCGCGCCGCCAGACCACACGGTGTTAGGAGAGAATAAATTAAAAACAATATACGTACTAATAATAATAATAATAATAATAATAATACCGATAATATTATATATATATATATAGGTACACAGGTATTCCGCCGCTGTGTGCGCGATGCCCCCTCCGAGTTCGGTGATTTTTTTCTTCCTTCTTCTCGCGTGCACGAGCGATCGTTATTAATTGTTTTAAGTCATACACACTATATATATATATATATATATATATATTATATATCTGCAGCTCAGTCGTTTTATTATTTTCCCCGTGAGCTTCAGTGCGGTCTCACTGTAGTACCCATATATATATATATATATATATATATATATATACGTATATGTTTATGTATATCGTACATATTTTAACGTGTATATTACTGCGTAGGACTTGATGACACGATCGAAAGGTAGACAAGGGATAGGTAGTAAGAAAACGGGGCTTTGGGGGTTGAAGCTCCTAATACTGGCGCAAAAGTATACGATATGAGCTTCAAGCTCATAAGTCATAATTTCATAATTCATTTTAAATATGGATAAAAAAAACGTTCAACATTTTCTACGATGTATTAAGTAATATCGAAATCAAACTCTTTTATACGTCATAGAAAATTTATATTGAAACCGAAAACAAAATATTAAAAATTCACCAATAGCCTATAGATCAATAATATTATCTTAGTATTGACTTTGGTGCATTAGACAATCACCAAGAATTAATGAATTCAAAGCATGAATACAAACGTGTATCGTGTATCTACATCTAAAATTTAAAATATACGCTAAAAAATCTATGATTAAATATTCAATGGACCGTTTTATATCACGACTTGTATATCAGCGTCTAGACGACTAGACCCGATGTTCTAGTATTTATTCTGAAATAAAATCACCGGATGTACGTAATATATTTGCACATTATACATGAACGACCACTATGCAAATAATATCCGTTTCACGCGCCGGAACACTTGCCCTCAGCAAGTATATAGTATTATATACGTATATTTATTTGGAACATAATATCTTAAAATGTAAAGTAAGTATGATAATATTATTATGTGTTATAACATATACACGCGGTTGCCACCGCCGATTTGTCGTATTTTCGATGTTTACGTTATATTTAAATTGAGTCGACGGCAGCGGCGGCGGCGGTAGTATCACCGCGCGGAGGATAACCGGTGGCCCGGGCCAACCAGACGATGGGAAAACGGTCAACGGCAACAGACGTGGATAAAAATGAATAATATTACTTCACACACACACACACACACACATATATATATATATATATAATATATATGTGTGTATGTGTGTGTGGACAAAAAATAAAAATAACAAATATGAAGAGTAAACCGCATACCAAACGACTAATCAAACTACTATATACCGTGTGTGTGTGCAACAACGGTTGGTGGCGGCGGCGGCAGTATACCAAAGCCGTTCATGCGACAAAAATCTGTTGAAACATATTTGAAAAAATTTCCCGCCGGGATTCGGTTTTTTGTCATTTTTTATTTATCTGTTTTTTTTTTTCGTCCCCGACTAGTGACTACTAGTTGTACTGGTGCTGTTGCTGCTCCTATATCTACTTCTACTGCTGTTGCTATTACATATTGTTGTAGCGCACACACTTATACTAATAATTCTCAGTGGTGTGTCACTTGAACGTTTTGGTTAAGGAGCTAAATTTTCGACTGACCCCTTTCACGAATTTTTTCTTTCGTTTCTATTTCTAACGCGCAATTCAATTATTATAAAAAAATTATTTCTGCAATATCATCACGTGATAGTTATTGTTTTCCACCACAAAACCGGTTAACCATAATGCTGTAATTCTGCAATTTTCCACTATAATAGAGAAAACAATTTTACAATCAAAATAGTTCTCAGATACCAAAATCTATTGATACTTTTTAAATAACACGTATGTAATGATAATAATAAGAGGCTGTAGAAGAATTTATAAAAAATGGGTTACGCATTTTTGAAAAATAAAGAATAAATATTTTATCTAATTTAGACTACAATTTTATTTACCTACACCCAAATGTCTGAAACAATATGCCTGAGTAATTCCTCGTATAATGTAATTATATAACTTAAACATAATGTGCTACCCATATAAAACTATTTATTTTATGATATTAAGGGAGACGTTAGATACTCACCATACGGCCGGCTTCGTTGTTGTGCAGGTTCATCTTCTCCCGAAGGCTGCGGCCCCGCTCGCCAGTGTCCACGAACATCCTGGCAAACTTGTACCCAAAGTCTATGTTGTCCGAACAACCACCCCACTCCCAGTCCTTGACGCCCGGCACCGAGTTTTGAATATACGGTCCACGCCGCTGGTGTGTAGTGTCACACGTACATGTCTCGATCACGCCCTCCGCGCACGCCCTGGACACCGCGTGCGTCACGCCCGCGCTGGTGATCGCGTAGATGAACGCCGTCTCCCTGAAACCTGTGGATCACACAACGTACGCCCACACAACGCATATGTTAATAATTTTGTCGATAAATTAACCGTTTAAGATTTACAAAACATTATTAAGTCGTCGATGGATGAAGAAAGTGATGTGGGGTGATGAGGAAATACCAAAACCGAAAATTAAAAACACTTATAAACGACAGTTATATGTACATATTGTGTATATATATATATGTGTGTGTGTGTGTGTATGATAATACCCACACAGTCACGCGCTCACGAGAACATTTTTTTTTTACGTGCTTGTGTATATTGTGCACGCTCATGTGTGTACGGTCTAATCAATCAACGCGTCGAATCCACCAGAGTGGTAAATGCACTTTGTATTTATATAATAATAAGTATATGCGCACGTGCGCGTGTTTGAACACGAATTCCGATCGCATACCAATACAGTTAATTAAGATGCACGTCAACGGCGACAGCGACATCGACGACGACGGTTTTTGTGACTGCGCGAGATACTTCCGTCATCATAGGCGTCGTCTCTTCTCGACCGAAGAAACTCGTTTGCGCGCGTGCGCGCACAAACATTTAAAACATAGATACTACTCAAATATTATGTGATTCGGTCGTTAACTGTACTTTTTACGTAAACATTGATAAAAAAAAGTAGGTATTGTTAATTAAAATTAACTTCTAAGAGTCAAAGAGGCGTTTTATACTTATATATTGTTATACATTACACGTCAAGCCACCATGAAACGTCAAATAAAGATATTTACTATAATGTACACGGTATTATAAGTAATATTTATCTTGAACATGGATCGATGAATAATTTGATAAAAACATACACACTATCGTGTCGTAATGTTTATTATATTTGAAATAATATAATATTATGTATATTATATAGATGCGATTATAAATTGGACGTGTTTTCCGGAGCATAAAATTATAAAACCAAGTTGACATAATTGAAATTTTGTTTAAAAAAAAAGTGTTTGTATATTTTATTCTTGTCTGCCGAGTAAACCAGACAATTACTTAATTTCTGGCCACACGCACGTCTGAATATTAATCGGTTGCAATGTAATGAAATCGGATCGATAATTAATGATAATAATAATGTATATTATCGTGTATTATGTCATTATCTATATTAAATTATCAATTGCTCATACTAAATGTTTTCCTTTTTTTTAACAATAATCGTAAAATCGTTTATCACAGAATATGTTATAATATATTTTTAAATACAAAGAATATCTGTTGAATCGTGGGCGCAAGCCTGTTTCATATATTATATAAATTTAAATATAAAACAAATTAATTTGCTATCAGACTGGTCCAAATTCTTTTTCGTGGCGTATAAAATATTATTATTTCAAACATAGTCATGGATACCAGTACCTACTAACTACGGTAATATAATTATTTACAATACTACCGTGTTATATACTATATAGTATATAGCAACAGTACTACATCGGTCGTGCATTGTTCGCGTTTTGAAAACCGTATAAAACCAAAGCGTACACAATAGTTATAAATGTTATAATAATCGAACGTCAGCGCGATTACGCGTTATACTATTATAATATACCGTCGTTCGTATACATTTACGACGGTAAAATCGTAAAATATGTATAACGCCTGTCGCGACTATACTATATTATTATTATTATACGTGTGAGCATTGAACGACGACGACAGCGATACGGATAATTGCCATACGACGACGACTACTGCCGTGCGTATAATTATATTACGGGAAGACCTGCGATGACGACCTCACGCCGCGGCGGCATAATATACGCGCGCGTACAGTGACCGATCCCCTTTTCGAAAAACAGAAAAGAATAATAATAAAAAAAAAAAAAAAAATGTTAAAAAAAACCTCCCGACCTAAACCCGTCGAATAAATAACTCGCACAACAACAATACCGCGACGATGACGATGATGACGATGATATAGTAATATCGTAACGGTGGCGATTTCACGTGAGTGCTGCTGCTGTTGCTACAGCAGTGCGATGAGGTATAGAAGGTATATACGCGCACCGTGGGAGCGTGTTCGGACGTGCGGTACATTTACACGGCAGCACCCCCGCTCTTGCGGGATTCCGCCACCGACGCGGCGTCGCGAATCGGCCGATGGAAAGAAAAAAACCTCCCTCATCTGCGGCGGAGGCACGAAGAGCATTGTATCTACATATATATATAAGCATTTATTATTATTATTATAATATTATACACATACCATATATGTTATGGGTTATATGCACTGCACGGGGTTAACAATACCTCGTATTATTCTATATATATATATATATAGGTAGGTGGTAGGTAAGCGCGTATTTCACTGCACGAGCAGAGTGCCTACCCATGCCTGTAATGCCACGGTCGTCGCGCGTGAAAAACGGGAACGGAAATTATGTACGGGGCATAAATCTGCAGACCGGTCGTATGCGAGTCGCGTCCACGACACCCCCCGGACGGGCATATCACCGTGCATATCGATGTGATATATTTTATTATTATTATTGCATACGGCTTGTATATATATAATGTGCGTAACTTAAAAGGTGGGAAAGGTGTGCGATAATAATACGAAACGCGTACGTCCTTCGCGCTGTCCTACACTATATACGAGTATACTAAAGGCTATTATTAATACACATTGTTGTATTATGTCACCACCACCGCAGAGTGGCTACTCGTTTTATATTATTCTCTCTTTTTATTTTTTTTTGTCCACCACCTATCTGCTCGTGCGTGTCAAAGTTTACGCGCCATTATCGTCGTCGCCGACCAGCGGGTGGCCCAGATCCAAATACCTTCCTCTCTGCTTTTCCTTACAGTATAATATTTTACGCGATCTAGAATACGTTACGCGATATTATATTATTATGCACCAGCGGCGGAGGGATGTAATTTTACGATCTTGTACTGTACATTATGCCGCGTCGTGCGGCGTTTTCGTAGTTCTCCGACACGACCGACCGATCAATTGAGCACAGCAGTTAAATGATTACCAACGAATAATTTGTACGGATAAACGCCGGCCCCACCGAATATAATATTATTGTGCACTAAAATATTATATATTGGTAATAATACGCGAAATCCGGTATTCTTATACGTCCAAACCGGATTTCACGACCGATTTGTACGTCGTCGCGGTGACGGAAACAACGGTGACGGCGACTCGGGAAATCCGATATACCCGTCGCGTGAGTTTTCCAAAAGTTTCGACGCGTTTCCGTTACGCACGCTCGAGGCGCCCGCCGACCCCTGTAACGCTCGCGTAATGGTCAAATCCCACACACAAAATTTGTAAACGTTCTTCGAAAAACGGGTGCTCCGATGTAGTTGTTAGTAATAGTAAGAGCGAATACGACGAACATTAAAATATTATTATTGTAATAATAAAAACCATATTACGCGTTTGTTGTATATACGCGTTTATATACACCGCCACCGACAGGTATATATTATTAAAGTACCTGACGAAAAAAAAAACACTTACACACACACACACACACAAACACGTTTTTCTAAACGAAATAATTTGACTGGTTTACAGTGAGCGTGCAACCCGTCAAATAAAAGACACGTATGTATACCTTAAATCGTGTAATAAATAATATGCTAGGCGGACGGGGGATGGGGGATCTGTTCGGGCACGCCGCGGGAAACCCTATGATGACGTTATTAGTCGACTAATAATCCGACGGTGGCGGCCGGGAGGTCTAATGTCAACACGTTCTTCTCTTTTCTTCCCGTCGTCGTCGCGGCTCGTACACACACGACATACACGATTTATCCCCTTACCTCTCTTCACCAACGTTTGGAACGGCATTAGTACGCGACTACTATTGTTTATTTTTTTCTGCCGTGAATTATTATTATGCGTATGACGATGTTATAATAATATATGTTATATGTGTATAAATAATAATATATACCTATATATGTATTATTCTACGCTTGCGTTTATTATTATTAAATTGTATGACAGTAGGTAGTAACTAGTAGGTATAAATGATGTCTCATTGAGAGACTGCCGGTGCAGCGGCGATGACGACGTCCGAGTGTGTTCGGACGGATAAATGCGTTGCGGTTTCGCCGCCGGACAAACGGGTTAGATTTTAAACGTTCGATTGATACGACACATTGTAAGTGTGTATAGTGTGTGTGTGTGTGTGTGTGTGTGTGTGCATGTTCGTACCACTATCATATAGATATACTATACAACCTAGTAATAATGTGTGTAGTAATCGTAATGCGTTTAGGTTCCAGTAGTACAAATTAATATATTATAGGCGGTGTACCATGGGTTGCGTGCGGTCACGTGACTTTTAAACGTTCCTACCTCGGTTCCTATATACATATATATAAATACATTCGGATTTGTATAAATTACATCGGTCCATAGATGCTTAATACTGATACCACATTTTTCATCCAACGACTTTATATGCGTTTTCCTCCGTGTAATGAATTTTCATAAGAATCCGATCGTTATCGTCCGAATATTATAATCGTCGTGTAACCGTGGTAGGTTATAATAATACTTTATCTGAAACTTACGAGTTAGATCGCATAGTACGCGTGTGTGTGTGGGTCTGTGTGTCTGTCTGTCTGTCTGTGCGCTATGTAAGTATACATATATAGCCTTATGGGACGTGTGTTCGATGGCGGGCGACGGCGGTCAACCGTCGTTGTCCGACAAATATCCGAACGATTTATTTAATAATAATATTAATAACGAAATGCCGTAATATTATGGTATTCAGATTTTAATTATTACGCGAGATTCGAATCTAAACAGTGTGTTTATTCCACTGCCAAATATATGTACGATATAAACAAAAAAAAAAGAAATTAAAAACTAATATTATGTAAATATTTAACATTTTTCCTGTATACCCTGAATGTACCCGATATAATAATATACAGAAATAATATGTCAGCGCCGCCGTCAGCACGTATAACACCGAACGGCGGATAATTCGAATTTATTGCTCCAGTCGGTGTACATAATATTCAATACAATTGATTGCCGTCGCCGCCGAATCACGCGAAAAAACTCTTCGCGCTTAAACCCGTTTGAACACAATTTTTATCTTCCGGAATATGGCGCGAGGCAGGTAGATACCTAATACCTATATATTATTATTATATTTTTTTCGTGAAAGAAAAAAAATAATGTCCATTAAAATATATATCGTGGCGTTCGTATGTAACGACGTCGTTTTACATGCGGTTCACACGATTCGTTTACATAATTTAATCTTTTTTTATCCCCTCTGCTGTCTCCTCCCCCCGTGCGCGTCTACTAAAAATATAATATACTGTCCCGCGACGAGTATATACATACTCGTATAGTACCTATACGTATATATAGGTACCCGAGGCGGTGGACACGTCGTCAAGCCACACTCACACACATATAAACTCGGGCGCGCGCGACAATAATAATATTATTATTATTATTATTATTATATTTTCTAGTCGGATGCGACGTGATAAAGACACGTTTTTTATCTTTCCCTCTCAATTTTCCCACCCCGTTCACACGGTGATCGTCAACGACGTCGTATGATGGTCATGTACGCGTTCGCGATAAAATCGTATCACGCCCGAACTGAAATGATACTTGGGTAGAAAAAAACGTGTATGTGTGTATATATGTATTATAATATATAAAAATTAAATAATAAACGAAACGGACGGCGGCGGCAATAACAATATACATATTATTATAACAATAATCGTCAGTGTATAGTAGCGTGGCGGTCTGCAGGTCTGTCCTATAAAAATAGTAATATATACCTACACGACGGTGACTGCAATATAACGGTGGCGCGAAAGAGGAGAACGAATATACCTCTCTCAGTCTCTCTACGTAATAATAATATTATAAGTACACCATAATATTATATACGTAAATAACATGCGTACCTATAAGTTATTATTATTATATAGTATAAGTAATATAATATTATAATACAAAGATATTACTACGTTTCAGAGCAGAGTACATAAATATCGCGGACACCCGGTCCCCGGGACGGGTAGAATACACACGGTACATGTATAATATATATATAATATGATAATAATATAATACGCGTTTGACAATAATATTTTTTACGATATTGGACGACCCGTCGTCGTGTTTATTATACACTGCACGCGTACGCAGATATAATAATAATAATAATAATAATAATGTTTCCTCGTCGAACTAAAGTCGTAACGTAATATTGTTAAAACGTTGGAAGTTTCATAGGTAATATTAAAAAAAAAAATATATATATATATATATATGTAGTTGTACACTTGTACGATTGCCGACCGGAATATAATATATAATAATGATCGTGTATACGCGTACGAAATGAGATTGACGATAACCGTCGATATATCGTATAATAAATAATAACACTATCGTTTCCCCGATCGTCCTCAGCTCTGAAACATATGCGTATATATAATATCTAAAGATATAATAAAATAAAAAAATTTTCAATTTTTATCTGACCACGATAACTTTATGTTATAACGTAGAGTTGTCTTTATAAATATCGTAGTATAATAATATACGCCGAGTACGTGCAAAAGTGTTTGAGATTGGGACGAGATTTTGTCTACATTCATACGTCAATTGATTAATGAAACATTAAAACGGTCGAATAACGTTATGTTATCGATGTTATTATTATAAGTAATGGCTTACTAATACTTCTTAAATCAACCGTTGTTTTGAATAATTTGTGACTTATAATGACTGTATAATCGGTTAGTCATTAACATTAATTTATCGTTATTTGTTTATCGATTAATATTAATTTAGTCTTAATAGCATCATAATATCAATAAATCAACATAATATTATAGAAATCTGTAATCTGGTATAAAATTATAAATACCTACGAACAATTTTAAGCTTCGAATGCACGACACAATTTTGTCGAAAAACGGAGTATTAATAAATTAAAATATATTGTAAAATAATTTATTGTTTTAATAATGACTTTATTTAAAAAATAATACTTGATCAATGTTGTAAAATTTGTAAAATACCTTAATAAATTATGACATGAAACTATATTTCTTTAAGGATTATTCCGAATACAGCAAACGGCTATGGCACGTGCGTGATCCAACGATAACACTGTCTGTGAAGATGTGATCTGGGTACCTCAATGCATAATGTGTCGATAAAATGTTAAGGAATAATTTTTTTTTCAATTAATTGTTTTTACTAGTTTTTTTGTCCTTATCTAAACACATATCAACGTAAGACAATATAAACTTGTAGTTCGTGTTTATATAATTATGTTCACTTTATTAGTTACTAAAAATCATGAAATAATAAATAGGCATACCTAGGTATAATAATAATGATATAATACTACATACACGTACACGTATATATGTATTATACTACAATAACACTCTCGTTACGTCAGTCGAATTGTTTATGTTCACGATGGAGAACACGAATATCATAAATAAGTCTTGATAATACACCATTACCTCGTATATATTATATACAATAAGATGATTTATATATTGTTATAATAATTTTATTGATAGAATATTTACGCACGTGTCTCTGTGAAAAATCACCCCGCACAGACTACTTAATATAATAATAATATTTTATGTACCTCATTTGGAAGGCGAACAATGCATAACTTACAAGTATAATGCGCTTTCAACATAATTAACGTGAATTTAACGGTATTATAATATAATAATCAATACATTGTATTAGGTACAGCCATATGCCAATCCCAGGGCATAACTGGTTAACAATTTTCCTGGGTAAAAGCTTTGTAACTTGTATGTCATCGTCAACGTTGATAACGTAGTAGTGTTAATTCGCGATTAAGTCGATATAGAGATTTAATGTTTTTTTGACAGGCTTCAACGATTCGTCATTACTCATTATATATTATATACACGAGTATATATGTATAGAACAATAATTATTGTTCAACGACTAATAAATTATATTTTATTTTCTACAATATATGGATAAGTTAATAGAGTTATTTTTAATATGGCGTAATTTTATTTGTATTTTATAAGAGAAAATAAAATGATTAGGTAATTTAAAAATATATCATATAACATATATTATTTACCTCTGTCCACAATTTTCCCAAATAAGTTTTTGCCAGTTAAGAAGTTTTTAGTTGAACAGTTCCAACGCCTATTTCGGAACTGGTGCTGACACTCTTGCAGTGCCATGTTGACGCCTCTGCTGATTGCTTGTAATACACCTGGATGTTCACGAATCATCCTCCTCTGTTTATTGCGCAGTAATGTCAACGATGACGTGTCCATAAGCATCAAACCAGGAGTCATAGGAGCCAAATTATTAGGTTCGCCAGCTTTTGCAATTCCCCTATTGTTTATAAAAAATAAAGCATATATTAAACAATTGTTATTAACCTATATAATTATTATAAAAGTAAATTAAAAAATATTAAACTATAGTAAAAAATTGACACCAAACGTCTTATATTAAATACAGGATCTAAGTTTCTCACCGATTTTTGAAAATGTTCTTTTTTATAAATTAATTAAAAATACAAATACTTATTATTAAATCACATATACCTATAAATATTTTTATGTTATAAACACAACATAATAATATGAATAATAGCTCATAGTGCACAGATACCATAATATTTCATACTTTATATTCTATCACAAAAAAAACTACTGCGAAGTAATTATATAATTCCAAGAGTCTATGCACTCTATACTTCTTGTTAAAACTAATATTATCTATAAATTAAGCGTACGAGTATAATGCATATGATAGATAGTCTAAATAAAAAATTATGTTAATATATATATATATATATATATATATATTATATACACAATCTCAACGTTCCCAATAAACGATCAATTCATTTTTCAATTTGTCTTGTACATATCCTGGGTCTTAACATTAAAATAATATATAGACAGAAGACATACGAATGTGAATAATGTGTCAAATGATAGCTATACAGAAAGTAATTCAACTAATTGAATATATATAGTTATTATATGTGCATTCAAGTTAAGTAGTGTATAATATGTAGTTGACTAACTATAATGTTTAACCCGGCCATAAGGCTTTATTTACAATGAGCAACTCGTTTAACATATTGAATAGTTATATGGTATATGGTAAAACAATATTATAAATATATATATATATATACAACTTAAGTTTGTGATACCGGATTATTAATTTTTTTCTAACGTCGATATAAAAATATGTCAAATAGGATGTGAATAACTCAGAATTAACTCTACCGGAAGATTAGTTTCGCGTTGGCGCTATAATATGTGCGTGTGAGTGTGTGTCAGAAACCGTCACTTTTTCAATCTCACAACAATAATGTTATATTATGCCCGGTGTATTTTATTATTTTAACGTACGAAAAACACTCGTCTTTTAACCGTGCGATGACGACGGTCAATATTATGCATTGAGATGTTTCCTTTACATATACAGTCACAATACGCGATAGGTCTGAAGTGTGTCTCGGCCGCCACTGTCAAAGTGTCGTCGCTGTCGTCGTCGTTGTCGTTGTCGTCTATAGAACGTGCTCGAGACGGGAATGAAGGGAAATCGACATGCCCGGACAATGGATCCAAGCACTCGAGATCGACGTATATGTGTCCGTGTGTTCGTAAATACACACTCACACTTATGCCGTCTGCGTGGACATGAAGAAATTAAGCACATAATGGACAAACAGGGATGTATTATTTGTTGAACGTGTCGACGTATCGGCGGTATATATATTATAAAATGTTTAAAACCTACTGCGGAAAGAAATAAGCAGCAGCAGCAGTGTTGAGAGCTAAGAGAAAAATGTGAGGAAAGAAAGAAATAACACATTTGTGTACAGCAGTATTATGGGACTACCCGCGTGTGATGACCAACACCGAGAACGAATGTGTATAAGCATTCATACACACACACACAACATAGGTACACCACTCGTAAGTTATAACATATTAAATATAGGCGTTGCTGCAGGTATACAAGATTAAATATATTATTATATAGTGTGTTTGGTTTTTGGCATGTAATTTTCGAGATGACGAGACTTCTTTTTTTTTGCCAGCGTTATTATTTATATAATAAATAGTGTTACGTTATACGACGTGACGTGAAAAATAAAATAATATTATAAAAATGTATATCATACGCACGCCTCGTGCATCAAGAAGATTTAGTGTGGCGCGTTATCCGACGTCGTCCGTTTGCCCGCATTTAAAAATCAAGCACGTGAATTATTATTATTATATACACCTAATTTCGTACACGAACGATCACACGTTGTCACTAATAATACGCAGGTACGTACCTACTCGTCTCTACACCTGTTTGCCCGTTCGGATGTACCGGCAATAAAAGCTCGTGCGGTACGCGCGCACGCACGGAGGGTAAAAACCTCGGCGAAGAGATATTATTCACAGCGTTTATTTTATTTTTATTTTTTGAATCGCGTCATCGCGCGCGGTCGACGACGTGACAACTGTAGCGGTGCGCGTGTAATTTAGTAACTTTAAAAGGTGATTATCGTAAAACGTTAACTGTTGACGTGCAAGATAAAAGATAAATCAGTGAGGAATGTTCCGGTAGACATTTACTTGTTTATATAAACCGGAGGGAAAAAAAATGTATAAAAGTATTGTAGGCAAGGCGAGCGGGCGCAGTAAGTAAGTGTATTATATTCATAACTCGTTTTCTTTTCTCTTTCCTTCTTTCTTTTTGTTTCGTTTCGTTTTGTTTTTTGTTTTTTTTTTTTTTTTTACCTCATAAATTTGTTTTGTTTTTGTGAGTACGAGAGAAGTAAAGAGAGAGAGGAGACAGCGCCATGCGCGTGCGCGCGCTCGCGTTTATATGTGTGAGTAGTGTAATTTATAGTATCACTAGCTCAGCTCTAGCCTATCTCCCTTGATCATCGGTTGTCGTGGGAATATTCGCGTTCTGGCTTCATTCCGGTCGACATTTTTATATTTTAGGTCTCTTAATGTCGTTAATCATCCGATTCTTATTTTATTTATACACACACACACTCAAATACACACTCACACACACTCGCTCGCACACGTAACTTACACGGTTCACTAACGCGGCGCATAGTTCGAACGAGCGCACAAGACACGACGACGCGATACGACTTCATTGTAGTACCACGCGCGCGCGGCGCACAAAAGACTAGTGTGTGGGTACGGCTGGTTTCGATCCGATAGATCCGATAACGGACAAATCAGCCGACGACGGTCGTGTCCGATCTGCGGCGACGAGTTGTGCGCTCGGCGGGACGACAGCCGCCGCCGAACGTTTAAAGTCGTCGGACGTTGACGAGTGGGAGCTGTCGTAACATCATCACGAGAAGACGGCCGATAACAATGGGCAGAAGACTGACTGCGTAACCTGTGCTACAATGACGGCTGCGAACGAGACGAACTGTGTCTATTATTGGCCGTCGTTGTTGTGCAATAATAATAATATATAATAATATTATGTACGCGTACACCCGCAGACGAGACGAATCCACCACTACACCGTCAATACGTCTCGCAGTATATTATTACGTTACGAAAAACGCATTATCGTATACCTAAAGGTATATGCAGTGTGTGTGCGCGGATATTTGGTAATCAGTTCGCGACGCGGGTGTTACACGCGAATGTGCAGTTATGAGCAAACCGCGAGTGATATCGACGTGGCTAGTGAATAAGAAAAAAAATTATAAAGGGATGTCGAAGTATAAAAAGAAATTCGTGCATACCTGTAGACTTAATAATGTCTCATCGCTTATATGGGACGTGGTTATTTATTATTTTCTTAAAGAAAATGGTACCCCTCCCGTCAGCGTCGACGATTTTTAAACACGTTGCACATGTTGCCAAACTTTTGGTATCACGCGTTGCCAGAAGAGCTGATTACTTTAAGAAAACTATTTTCGAGAAAATGCCAAGAATAAAATACATTCAAAAAAAGTTCATACATAAATAGTATAATAATTTATAACCAATCGTTTCAAAGCACACTGATGAAAATGCGTCAGATTAAGGTCCAAGATTACGGCAAGCATTGTATATTTCTATATATACATATATATGTATATATGGCTATTGGTTATGAATCAATTGCGCTTAAAACAAAATTTTAATTTTAATTGTATACCAATTGCACTTCTCAAATTTTATGATCAATATATTAATATTGCGCTTACCTTTCAGTTTTACTTTCAGGGATGACAAATATGTTTTTAACCTACTTAGTGTAATTTACATTAAATTATTAAACATTATACATTACTCTAAAATAATTGAAAATAAAAAATTATATATTATAATAAACAATCGATCAATATTAATTACTTAATGACTAGTTAAATATATTTTGTTTCCGAAAAACTAAAAAATATTCTTGCATTTAGAATGATAATAGTTGAATCAATTTATAAATATAGGAGCCAATTAACAGTATTAGGAATTTTATGAAATGTTATTATAATCAACAAAAAAAAGTATACATTAATTTAGTGCCTAACGAAATCAAGTTTTAATTTTCACAAGTTGTTTATTGATTAAATAGGTTCGTTGCACTACAGTACTACACAATACTTTACAACAATGATATAATTAGATGATTAATATTATGAACATTGTACAATTGTCATTTACTTTTATTGTATTTAAAACACTGAAATATTTATAATTGTATATTTTTATTTAATTTTAATTAACCATCTAAACTTGTAATATATATAACAAAGATTATTTTTATATATTTTAAACTGAAATGACCAATAGTTTGTATATAGAGCAATTGCAAACAGGTACCTACATCAACTATAAATATGACCAAGCACAAAATTAATCTATAGACATTGATGATAATCAAGAGCAATCATTGGTATATGAAAAGGTCATTTTAAATGCTATATTGGTTAAATTTCATATATGTATACATCTACATATATTACTATTAAATATTTTCTTCCACCAACGCAACCGAATTGTTTATAAAAACACGACACGACTTTCATTTACTGCTGTGAGAAGTTAAATAACAATATTATAATATTATACTATCATGTTATACATAATGATTTGACTATATATTGTTATAGGTATATTATATCCATACTGAAAAAGGTTATGTGTGAACAGTCGTAAAATATCGTATAATTATAATATACTTGGGTATAACACTGAAAAAAGAAAATGACGTTGTGAACATTATGGTATTTTATACGCGGCAAAAAATGGAATTTCGTGGTAAACAAGAGTATTTTTATACTTCATGTGAATAGACCACTCGAAATAGTATTCTCCTGCCGCCGCCACCACCTTGCATATAATATTGTATAACAGATAGTGTCATTAGTGCAGTGCGCGAGCATATTTCGAAACGAACCCGCGATGTATGCACTACCTTTATACTTACACATGTATTGTATACTGTTGTGTTATTATTGGTTATAAATTTGAAGAAAAAAATAGTAATAATAACTCTACTACCTACCACCTGGGCCTGACATCCTAAACCGGAAATTAATTAACAAACAACATTTTTCGTCCCATGGTAAAGAGGTATACCGCGGTAGGTAATTAACGTTCTAAATGATTTTTACCTCAGCTTTATGATTATTATTTTCATCATTATTACTATGACGACTACTACTTACTGTTACTACCACTTATAGTTACTGTTCACCACAGTATAACATAATACACGCGCGCTAGATGCGGCTAAGACGCGTAATTTGGAGTGTACCAGTCATATATTATCGAAGACGTCTACGAAGGGCGGCGTTGATATATATTTGTGTGACGGAAACAGGTCCGAACAGATTGATGGACCTGAGAAAAAAAAACCTATAACCGTTTTGACTTACGAGTGTCATCGTGAGAGAATATCACTTGAGTACTTGTCATATTCTCATTATTATTATTGTTCAGTGACTTAAATTATCGAGAGAGTCAAAAAAAATAATAAAATAATCCTTACTTCTATCACGTGTATCAATATCGCGGCATATCGCTATTTTAATCCAGAAGAATAAAATAGATAATTAAATCGTAGTAAAAATAATTCTCAATGATGAGCGCAACGTACATCCTATAATTTGTTTATATTTATTGTATAATATAATATAAAATTAATGGTTAAACAGTTATTTTTATAGAGACATATCGATCGTATTATTTTTCAAGTGCGTAGACACAGACCATTATATTCTATGTATGTATGTATATATATATATATATATATATAACAATGTGTTTATACAATATATTATATTGTTATAAAATAGCGAAAGAAAAGAATAAAAAAGTACGTCTCAAGTTTGAAATAGATATGTTCGGTATATTAAACCTAAAATAAAAATCATAAGTACCTACTATTATATTTTTTAAACGTTTATAGCTATTCAAATAAAATATATATGTATGGTGTATAGCGTGCTCGCATTTGTGTGTATGTGTATGACATCATCATTTGTTCAGCGGATATTTGTTTTATTTTTTCATTTTTAAGAACTTAATTATTTGCCTTAGATAAGAAAAAAAAATAAATAAAAAAGATGCCGGAAATCGAAGCATATTGTTCGGACTGAAGGGACAGAAAAATGTTTCATCGAAAAATGCGTTTTGTATTTTTTCATTCATATATCAGTACAATGGTTTAAAAGATGAAAAAAAAATGATAACGTAAAAGCCTCTACGTATTTATACATATATTGCCCTCATTTTTGGAGCAATCCCCCCCACGATCAGTGCAAATTGAAATTAATAGGGGGGTTCGATGATGCCGTCTATAGAAACGCGTGCGTATATACATGTCTGTCAACTATTCACAATAGTCTCAGATAGCCATCTAGACATACAGACGGCCACTTTGGGTGGGTTCCCTATGTCTCTTATTAGGGTTCTTCTCAATTGACCCTGTCCACCCCTTTTAATGTCTGATAGATAATAAAAAACAAACGTTTAAGAAAAAAATATCTAGGTAACATTATCAAATAATTCACGCTGAGATCGTGGTGACATTCCTTCCGGTTTCTATGTCATAACCGTTGACTCGCATACTATAATAAAATAATAAACCTTAAACTAGGTACCCAATTAGATTACACTTGAATTGTTTGAAAGAATCGAACGGTTCAAATTTTTCAAAAGGGTATTATAATAATATTATTTTCAATAGAAATGTATAGAATATGTTGGATCTTCTGCTGTTTGTGTTATGTGAATAAAAAAGATTTGTCTTTTCTTTTCATTCTTTTTAGATTTTTTTTACCTCTTTCGTTTTCCTTTTATATCGTTTACACAACGCCTACCAGATATTGTTTTCTTTTTTTTTACTCCCCAAATTTAGATGTGAAACAAATAAAAGGTATTATTCTTATGTTAACGAATTAAATAATATTTAAGAACTAAGTTTTTTTTAACATTTTGAAGTTTATTATTTAATTTCCTACTTCAAATATTTCAAAACAAAATATGCATTTAATAATGAATAATAATTAAAAAGAAACTTAATAAAACATTTACTATAATATTACAAATTTGTAGTATCTTTTGGGTTGTAATTAAACTATATATAAAAACTATTTATCAGATATTAATTTATAGACATTTTGTGACATTTAAAAATTAATTTTATCGTGAATTACAACAAAATTAAGCAACATTTAATTTTTGATGATTCATTAGTTATGATTTTATGTGTTATAAATATTGAACATTTTATTGCTTAATGATAATTATAAAATTAATATCATATAAATAAATTAACCATAATTATATTTTTTTATTGATAATTAGTAATTATCAACAAATTATATTACTCACAAAATTTATCAGTAAATACAAAATAGTTGCATGCATAACATTTAAAATAACACTATATAGGTCAGAGTAAGTTAATACATTTGATTTTATTTACAGATTTACACAAGTTTAAATTTTCTTGTGGAACGTTGAGTAAATTATTTTCACAATAATTAAATATGTTATTTTTTAAATTTTTACACAGAACAATTTTTATGACAATTAAATCCGTTGTATAACCATTAGGTATCTACTTAATATTATATAGGTATAGATCAATGTAATTTTGCGATTGTTCTTGATATTATTGAGAAAAACGTGTAACGCCATAAAATAATAGTAAATATTAAAATATATAATAAGGAAGTGAAGAAGCTTATATAGTTATAATTTAACTTTTTATTTATTTATTTATTTAATTAAGGCATTTATAGATAGAAATAACTTAACTAAAACTCATTTTCAAAGAAAATAAGCAATTATTTATCATTAGTTTCAAAAATAAAAAATAAAATGTTCTATGAAACAAAAATCTATTTTCTACTACCAATGTCTTACAAAATTATAAATTTCTCATTACCTTGTTAAAATATTAAATTTATTTTTATTTTTTTACGTACATTAACATATTTACTATTATATAATTGCATTTAACTAAATTATATTTTACTACAATACAATATTGATAAAATATGTTTTCTTTAATCTCTATGATTTTAAGTTAAAAAAATATATAATATGACATTCTACTCTATCCATTGACAACTATTAAATTTGAAGTATCTGAATTTAATATTTTATTAACTAAATTTTATATCTAACGCAATATTATTATTTGAATTATTATTTAAGATGAGTATGTTTAAACATAATATATATCAAATAAATATAAATCTTAAAAATAAATGATTTTGATTTTGTAATAATTAGAATTAAGATATGCACACATTATTATTTAAATATTTATGTATGTATAAATTCTAACCGTGCTATATATTTAGAGTTAAAAAAACATAAATCAAATACCATCAAACATTTATGAAATATAAAATAATTTTCTAATTCGATAAAACTATTTGGCACACTTAATTAGATTTTATAATATTAGTATAATACACACAACGTATGACCGACCGTGCTTGATCATACACAAATAAATAGATAATAATATGATTAAAGTAAGATTCGTATATAAACGTGAAAAAACAAATAAATAACGCAAATATACGTATCTATAATAATTTTTTTTAAATAATGAGATCTGATAACAAAATTACTCACCACCAGTGGGTTCCTTTGTATTTTCCTTCGCGGTGTTTGGCGTAAGCTCTGGAGATCTCGTCGACCACGAGGGTCATCAGTACAATTGTTTTGATTACAATTGTGACCTTCATGTCACATGTCTAGGTACCACAGATATGGGGTGGAAAAAATGTCCCGTCAGCGCCAAGCGATAGGGACCGGCAAACGACGACGACGACACGAATGGCGTCTGTGTAGAAGCCCTCGAGGGTTGTTGAGACACAACGACGAAAAAAAATAAAACGTTAAAAAATGTCGAAACGGAAAATTTTTAAAAAAAAAAACAGAGTATCGGCCGCAATACGATATTATAATGCGTAATGTACAAAAAAAAAATAATAAAATAATAATAATAAAAAAATAAGAAAACGATACGAACGCGAAACGCGGTGAGCGCGGCCCAGAGAAACGAGTTTTCCCCAGGAGTCTGTGAACGACTGGTACACACGACTATATCATACAACACTACGCGGTGATACAATCAGATGAACGCACCCCAGTCCGGCCGAGCAGAACGACTGATCGTGAATGCGCGACATCTCGGGTCGCAGGAAAACCGCCGTCCTCGTGGACCACGGAAAAAAATCATCTCCGTCCGGTAGGATGGGCGCGGAGGACCAAGGCAGGAGGATGCCGGCCAGGCTCCGCCCGCCGGCCGCCCACCGCCGTGCGGTCCGAGGTACGGTCGGCGCGCGCGCGACCGAGACGGGACGACATGCCGGGCGGAGGAGAGACGGCGACGGAAACGGTCTGGCGGCGGTTACCACAGGTTATTGGCGGCGGCCGGAGCGGTTATTGGGCAACCGTGGAAGGGGGAACGTTGCTGGTTTCGCGCACGCACGCGAGCACGCTGCAGGTACGCCTCTTTCCACTGCCGCGGCCGTCGTATAATACGATATAGGCAGGTATATAATACGCGCCACATATATCACATAGGTACACCTTGTTATGAGATATATATTAAATATACATATAAACACATTTATATATTGTGTGTATTCGTATGTCTAGGATTTGTTTTGTTTATTCGCGACGGGGGGGGGGGGGGGGGGAAAACAGAAAAATTAAAACGTTTTAATATATAATATTAATATAGCCATTAACCCGGAGCACGTCCGTGTATAATTCCTCAACGGTTTTACCGTATAATATTGTAAAAATAAATATATAACAGGTAGGTATAATATGATGTGTAGACGCAATATTGTGGTACATACAGCGAGTGTCTTATACCGCAAAGGTTACGCGACTATTATCTACATAGGATTTAAATTTCTGTAGTGCTGAGCTTGTATAAATGACTCACAGTCAAATATTATATAATATTGAGTTTAAATTACGCCTATTGCGATACAATGACATTATAATAACTATATTATTATTATACTGATTTTAGAATCGTATATGTTATAAATTATAATAACGATATTATAATGTGTGTTCGGAGTATAAATTACTAAATATTATTATAAACAACGCAACAGAATGATTATTATACAGTTTTCTGCACCTAAAAAAAAAAAAAAAAAAAAATCAAAATCAAAACAATAATGATTAAGTGTGGTGCAAGGTATAGGTAGATATATTATGACGCGACCGATTTTAATAATTAAAAATTCGATAAGTCTCACGAGTTTTATGGAGCTCGAGTCCCTTTCCATCTATATTAAATTATATTATATATTATTGAGATGTTAGTGCGGGCACCGTGGATGTACATTGATATGTAAGATCCGTTACGGGCAATCGCCGAAAATTCGAATTTATCTAGGTAGGTACTGTGAAAATATCAACGGGTTTTGTGTTTTTAAGACGCGCGTTATTATATATAGTTGTGAGTTTATGACTGTCAGAGAGACACGTTCACTGCCGTGAAAAAGAGAAAACTAATATCGGACAGAATGGATGGTCGTCGAGCGAGGATAAACCTACATTGATATGTACTTATAATACACCTACCGCGACGCTTGAGTCACCGCAGAGTCCAAAAAAACTTCAGACACAAATACATATACACAATATATGAGCATAATGCATTATCGCATCTATTCGGCTGCAGTGATTCGTGACGCTGTCGTACACAGCATCGCGTGCATTCGCGACGGAGACACGCCGCGGCCGGCCGTCGGATAATCCTTCAATATTAACTTTTCGCACGGACCGCGTCGTCACGCGCACTCGGCACGGTCGTAATAACATCGTCTTCGTCCCCGTCGCGTTCGATGGTTTTTTACGAGCCGAAACGCACACGCGTCACGCGACATTATGTGCGACGGCTGCGAAGACTTTGGTACACTTGTCTGCCCGCATATGCGCTCGTATAAATATATATAGACAGAATATTTATAAATATATATAATATGTAATAATATGTATGTATAATATATATATAGGTATAATGTATATATAGATAATATCATCCTATGCGATGGAAAATAAAAATCGCGATTTCAAACCGTTTCGTTTTGGTGTGTTTTTTTATACCCTCTTAAATACATTAATATATATTATTCGAATATACCGTTTATATATATATATATATATATGTATAAAAGCCACCCATGTTTGTGACGGACACCGCCGACGCCATTGAAAAAACGTGCGCGAGTTCACTACCTAAGGTGTATATATATATATATTGGTAGAAATAGATACCAACTAAATATAATAATAATATAATACGTGAGTACCAATGTCTCGTCCGTTTTAATTACAACATCGATAAATATAAAAATACATATTATGTACCACTGCGTGTATATATATATATATATACGCACTCGCCCATAGCGCGGTAAATTGATTCTACCTATACATAGATTTATATTTATGTATACGTATACGTATATTTATGATATGTATTTTATGTGTAGTGAAATTTAAACATATAAATAATTGAAATATACAATTGGATATAATATTATTTTATTTGGTTCGTTAGTCTTGAACGTTTCGTCGTTTTGCTACGCCCAACTATTATGATATTTATCTATATTACCTTATACATATTATATTACTATTTCCTCGCACGTCCATAGTAATAACGATGACGTTTTTCTCTTTCCCACTGGTTTTTACCTCTAGCTTATTACGTATAATATATATATATGTATATTATTGAGTTCATAAAATTTTACGATCGGTTTCAAATGTTTAAATCAGCCCGCTTTCATAAATATATAGGTATTCAATGTTTAAGACTTCACAAGTATCTTAGTATAATAATTGATGAGAAATCAACACAAGTCGTTATTATTATATATTTATAAAATTATCTTTTTTGCAAATACTGAGGTATTATTTAATTTATTACATTATTATATTATGAATGTGTACTGTATAGGTAGTATGAACAAAATCAAACAGCCATTTTTATTTTTACCATAATTATCGAATTACAAAAAGCATTGTTTACTGTTCTATACTGTCCTATAGTTAAATTCAGAAATGTCTGTTATTTTATATTATTGCGTATTATTAAACGCATTTTGTACGTAATAAATAAAAATAAAATATTTATAAATAATTATACTATATTATAATATGATTACTGCACAGGCCGTTTTATTTCTGACGGACAATGTTGCTTCGTGATTAACACGTGTTTGAGAATGTTGGCGTTTTTTTAGTAGGTACAACCAAAAGTGTTAAAAAATAACACCAACACCCAACGATAAATACTTAAACTATCATTATCGTTATTCGATTTCTTAGAACAACGAAACTAAGTTCAAACCATATATGTATATCTACTTATATTATGTATAAGCATACGAATATATCTGTACCTATTTATCTAGCATGAATCATATATTGTATCGTGTACGTCTTGAATGTTTTATTACAGAAAATAAAAAATATGTACATAATATTAATGTAATATGGTTAAATACATTAAGTATTTAAACATTTTAAATACTATTTGTATTTATTGAATGATTATATATCATAAATTATATACAGTACTCAAGTAACTCTATATTATTACTATACTTAGAACATATCGCAGTTTACCTAAGTATCACAATAAGACTTAAACGTCTTGAGCTATGTATGTAAAAACACACAAATCATTACAGAAATTAATAAGGTTATATAACGCATGCTTGAGTGCAGGTATTATTATTACAACAAAAATGATCCATTACACAGTGTGTAATACCTATAAATGAATAATTACACCGTGATCATAAAATCTTAAATCTTAAGTTAATATTTCACATTAATATTCGGAATATCGAATAATTTCATATAGTGTATGTCATATTAGTTTATATTTTTGTGTGACGTACAGATAATATATAGTAATATCATAGCAATAATTTATTATATTCTTGTATTGAATGTACATCATATAATTTATAAAAATCCTTGTTTCGTTTATTTTTATATGGCGTACCCCCTGCCATATTAAATGACGTATCATCTTGTTCAGTTACTAAGAATAATAATAACAATGATGAAGCACGATTTAACTTATTTACATTGTATACACGCAATGCTAATTAACAACTATAGGTACGTCCTATATATGTACACAGTACACACATTGTAGGTAGTAGGTACATATGGTTTGCGTGTAAGTTTGTTGTAAAATTATAATAATATTATAATGACCTCTATTTGTTTGCACCTTTTTATTAAACCAAATTAATTACAGGTAGGCACATTGTAGACCAAAGACGACAGGCATTATATAGTGTAGTTTATTTTACAATAATGTTTACACATTCATAAATAATTAATACTGCATTATAATGTTTTTTTTATCTTACTTGCCTGACCTACGTCAATTAACCAAGATATACGTACCTAATAAGTAATAATGTATACAATTATTATGATTCTAAACAATTGGTCATCAAAACAAATTTCTCATGATTATACTTTTAAAGGAATAGTATTAAAAATGTATTATATTATCAGCTAGTTTTATAGAATCATTCCAATTCAAATTGTATAAAATCGAGAAAGAATATTGTAATATGATAATATAAACACACATAACATATTATAAATAAATATATAAAGTATGAGTAATAATATTTTATACAATTTTAATCAACCTAAACTCAACTATTTATATCTTAATGAAATTTTCGACATTACCTTAAGTATTATGTTGTACAATAACTACAAGAAATTAATTTCCTCTTCCTCAAATTATGATAAATACAATATATTAGTTAACATTTTTAATGTAGCATATTATGAATGTGTATTGTGTAGGTAACTATACCTATATAATCTACTTAATTTGACTAACTTATTTTTATTTTCTAAAAAAATTTTTAATTTATGT